TTTTCTAAAGCAACTGGGATAATGGGCTGGAGAATTGAGGAGGGGCTACTGCCAATCCTGCCTCAGCACTCACTCACCCAAGTAAGTCATAGTCATAGAGAACTACTGCACAGAAAAAGGCACTAGGTCCAACATGTCCGTGGCGGTTAAAAACAACCACCTAACTATTCTAATCCTATTTTCCAGTACTTTGCCCATTGCCTTGTATACCTTGGTATTGCAAGTACACATCTAAAAACTTCTTAAATATTATGAGGGTTTCTATTTTTACCACGTCTATAGGCAGTGAGTTCCAGATTCCTACCACCCTCTGAATGAAAAAGCTATTCCTCATATCTTCTTTAAATCTAAGCCCCTGATCATTAATCCCTCCATGGAGGGGAAAAGTTCCTTTCATATCTCTGCACTCTGCTTCAAGGTTTGGCAGGCCTAATTATATCTCGCATCCACACCTGGAGTGAACACCAAACAGTTTGAGTGCTTTCTACTGAGGTCCCAATAAATTGTCTCAAAAATCAAAATCTGATCTCAGTACTTGAAGGAAGAGTATTCCTACAGAGCGTTTTCATTCCTATTAATGTGAGCAATTGTATTACCAACCTTTCCAGGCCTGGCTTATTTTTTAAGATTTCATTTCCTTTCTTGCTCACTTTTGCTGTCAATAATAAAGAAAATGTATGCTTCACTGAGAACAGAGAATATCATCTACATATTTTCCCTTTGTAATTGACTAATGATTGACTACTTCAACAGAAGTACTTTTCTTTTGCAAGCTGAAATCTTAATAATTAATTGGCTTCTGAAATTGTTTGACAAGCAGCTATAAAAAGACTAATTTTAAAGAGTGAACATTTCATACAATCTGAATAGAAGGGGATTGTTTAGCCCATTGTGCCTCTGTGCAGGACTTCACAATTTGTCCAATTGCCTTGTCCTTTCACCCTGAAAACCTTCCCTTTTTAAATTTCTATCAGTACTTATATTTGAAAATCAAATGATATTGTCTGAATACAGCAGGCTCAGAGTAGAGAATTAAGGTGCCAGATCCTAGGGCATTCAGTTGTCAATACAGATTTGCCTCTGACTCCTGAGCCAAAATTGACAGTCTATCACACGCATTCCCAATCTATGTACATAACAATGGATAGTGGGGTTGATTTTTAGGACTCCAGTGATTTTTTTTTTCCCTCTGTTTCCGTGTGCCTATCATAAAGAAAGGGAATAACAGAGAGAGAAAAACAATGGGGAGACGATAACAGCAGGAGCCAGGTGATACAAATGGGGAGGTAAACAGGATGAATCATTTATCATGGAATACAATCACAGAATTACAGAAGTGTTATGGCACAGAAGGAGGCCATTTGGCTGATTGTGTCTGCACTGGCGTCATAATTGAGCATCATTACCTAGTGTCAATCTCTTGGATTTTTGCCCATAACCTTGCCCATTATTTTCATCTAAATAATCATTCAGTGCCCTCTTGGATGCCTCAGTTGAACCTGTTTCCACTACACGTCCAGGCAGTGTGTTCCATACCCCAGTCACTCAGAGTGAAAATGTTTTGCCTCATTTCATCTTTGCTTCTTGTACAGATCACTTTAAATCTATGCCCTCGTGTTCTTGCTCCTTTTAAGAGTGGGAACAGCTTTGCCTGATCTAGTCTATCCAGCCCACTCATAATTTTGGAAACCTCTATCAGATCTTCTCTTAGCCTTCTTCTCTTCAAGAGGAACAGTCCCAACTTCTTCAATCTATCCTCATAACTGAAGTCCTCATGCCTAGAGTCATTATTGTAAACCACTTATGCACTCTCTCCAGTGTGTTCCCATCTCCCCATAATGTGGCACTCAGAACTGTACACAGTACTCCAGCTGAGATCTAACAATTGTCTTATACAAATTCAACATTGTTATGTCGGTAATTGGATGTATGTGTGCTGCCCCTTTAAGAGAGCGGATGAGGTGGTGCAACGGTGGCTGTGACGGGAGGCAGTCTAAAAATTGACTGTGGACCTGAGACACCTACAAATAAAGTATTCTTTATTCAAGTTTGCCCTCTGTCTACCTCATGTTCTATGTATGGTTCTAGCGAGCCACAAACAGATCGGCCCATTAGTTGTGTGCGGATGCCAATCTTTTCTGTTGGGAGGAAGGACGTTGCTCAGACTTTGAAAATGACACAGGATTGTGGAGGTAATATTGAGGCAAGCAGTTGTGAGGGATTGGGGCTGCGGTCTACACCAGGGAAGAACGGTACACACCAAGAAGTGAGCCAGTTATGGTAGACTTGAGGGGACTCGGGCTATAGTTGGCAGCTGAAGAGGGGAAGACTCACCTGAGAGCTTACCAAAGTCATCATGGAGAGCAGTTGCAAGGGCTCTCAGGTTGCGGGTGATGCCAGGGAAAAACAGAGTCAGTGAGGGAGAGTTGACATGGAGACCATTCACCAAAGGGTCTCAGGCTGTGAACAACTACTAGACTTGAGTGGTGGGAAAAGTTCCTGCCAGCAGGAAAACAAAATGGCAGGCCAGTTTGGAATGATGGGATAATTTATGATGAGACAGAAGGTTCTTTACACAAAATGTCTTAATGCATACTTAAAGGCAAATAAAGTAGCTGTAGACTTAATGGTACTGCTTTTCTTGAGCTCTGTTGGGAGAAAGACCTTCTAAAAAGACATATCAAGAACTATGCAAAGTTTTGGGGAGTTATTTTGCACGAGAGCCACATTCCAACTTGGAAATATATTGTCTTTCCTTCACTGTCACTGGGTCAAAATCCTGGAATTCCTTCCCTAATGGCATTGTGGGTCAACCCACATTACGTGGACTGCAGAAATTCAAGAAGGAAGCTCACCATCACCTTCTCAAGGGCAACTAGGGACAGGCAATAAATACTGGCCAGCCAGCGATGCCCACATCCCACAAAAGTGAATTTTAAAAATCACCATGGTAGTAGATTCGCTTCAATTATGACCAGAAGGACAGATAGCCACTTCAAGGGGCCCAAGGTGGTGGTCATGAAGTCTGTGTCTGTGAAAGCAATGATAGACTGATGAGATGAAATATTTGCCAAGTTCTGGATCCCAGAACAAGTCATGAGTGACAGTGGTCCACAGTGTGTGGCACAAGAGTTTGAAGAGTATCTGTAAATTCCCAGAGTCAGGCATGTGAGATTGACTCTGTATCACTCTGCCACATGCAATGATCCAGTGATCACTAGAGTCTTTAGTGTTCAACCGCCAGCTGAAAACCATATTTGATTTACTGCGTTCGGAATAGACCAGAGAGGTGGTGGAGCAAAATCAAGAAGCACAGACGGTCAGAAGGGTGCAAAACACAAGGTCAAGGGTATTCCAAACAGGAGAAAGCATGTTAGCCGGGAATGATATATCTGGGGAAAAATGGATCCCAGCAGTGGCTCAATCATGACCATTATCATCTTCAGTGCAGCCTAGGGATGAACTAGTCTGCAGGAGACATGCTGACCAGCTGTTTGCTGCACTTCACCAATGGGAGACGTTCCTCAAATATCAAGCCAGTCCACATGGTGTTGACCGAATCATGTGTCTCCAAGCTAGGGTTGGCCATTCCTAGGGAGAGCCAACAGCAGTATCACAGGGCAGCAACAGCCAATCAAGGAAGGATGTATCTGCTGAACATTAGGAGCTTCCAAAGCCCAGGAGACTGCACTAGAAAAGGTTGCTGATATGAGGAGACTGTCTTCTAGGAATCTCCAGCCTCCTGAGAGACTGATCATGTCAATGTAGACTTCAGAAGTGTCATTTTATTTTCCATGTTTTTACTTGCAACGATTCCTGACAGTGTACATATGTTAGCTACAATGCCAGTTTAATTGTTGGAGGTATACATATTATTAAGGGGAGTATTGAAATAAAGGGGGAGAGGAACAGTGTTATCTATGTAGTTGGATGTGTGCTGCCCCTTTAAGAGAGCAGGTCAGGTAACCTGGAGTCAGGAGCTAGGAGAGGCAGTTAAAAACTAACTGTGGAGCTGAGAGGACACATAATAAAATATTCCCTGTTCAGTTTTACTCTCTGTCTACCTCGTGTTCAGTTGTGGTCTAGTGAATCACAAGCATAATAAATATCACCTCCTTGTTCTTGTAATCCATGCCACTGTTAATAAAATGAAGATACTGTATGCTTTAGTTACTGCTCCTTTGATCTGCCTTGCCATTTTCAAGAAACTGTACACATATACATGGTGGTCCCTCTGCTCCTACACCCCCTTAGAATTGAACTCCCCTTTTTATATTTTCTTTCAACATTCTTCCGAGCAAAATGCGTCACCTCACACTTTAGAAGCTTCCTGATTCTATTATTAAAATTGCATTCACTAGGATTTTTAATGTTATTGTTGGCCAGGTAATAGATGCGAAAGCCTTTAAGCTGATCCTGTAAGGTTAATGCTACATCAGGGAAATCTTTGTCTCAGCAATAATATCAAAATAAAGTTATCAAACAATCAGGCACAGCCTTACAGTACCAACAAAAACATCAAATGCATGATTTTAAATTAAAAATTAAAACTGTTATCATTCTGGCCATGTGTTTCCTTGGTGCTGTCCTTTCTGAATCTTGTTTTTATAACTCAGTGTTTCATATTTTTTTTTCTCGCCAATTTTTTCAGTACTAGTTTTTTCCTTCCTGATTGTTCAAAGTTTGAAATCATGCATTTCCCAGATATCACCATCTGTTTTGGAAGAGGAAACAACTTTGAAATAAATGTCATTTCAAGTGTGACTAAGAGTTTTACTTCTAAAAAATGTCAAATCAAAATATTGATTTCACTGTGTTGTCGGTACAAGCAGGTAAATCTTTGACGTTTTTCATTGCAATGAAACAGGCGGGGGTGTTAGTCAATGAATCTTGTGAGATTTAAATAGATTTTTCTAATGTTCAACAAAGGCAAATTCAGAACATGTAAGCTCTACACTCTTTTACTTGAAGTAATATATTTTATTTTCTGTTTATTACAGCAAGATGGAAGTCCAGACAGGCTAAAAGGTGTGTGTTCAATTTATTCACAGATTTCTGTTTACATTTTCCTGATAAGAAAACTGAAATGTATGTATAGTTATCGTCTTTGCATCTGTCTGCTTTCTGTACTTCTGGAGTAGTTAATTTTAATTTATCATGAAATATTGTGAATGGAATCTCATGAGATTATCTACAAATTAACGGAAATGTTTTACATCAGGCAAACAATTTTCTCGGCTAGTTTGTCACTTTAAATGAAAGATATTGGCTGTAGACAATATGAAAGATTATGCTCATGTTCAGATCTCAGGAATTTCCACTTTAAATGCTACTTTAAATGGTTATTTAACTCATACAATGTCTTGTTTTCCTGAAATGCTGCTTTATGGTGAATGTAGCCTTTTTGTGGAGGGAATGGAGCCAAACAATTCCTAGCTACATTATAGATGCCACAATAAATCATTTGGTTGATCCTTGGCTATTTAGGCTCAAAACATGGTTTTAATGTTCTGAATTGATACACTGCCTTAGAAGTAGCTTCGTACCTGATGCGCATTGAAATGCTGAGGAAATGCGCGTATCCACAAACTTGCACAAGAATTTAAAATTTCCAGTTGGCAGTTTTAGCCTGCCCAGATTGCTTTGTGATTCCGACAACAGTGAGCTCAGATGGCCGGAGCCATGGCTGTTTGCTTTATACTTACCATGGTTTTTACACAAACTGACACAGTCTGGGCAGCACGGTGGCTCAGTGATTAGGACTGCTGCCTCACAGCACCAGGAGCCTGGCTTCAGTTTCACCCTTGGGTGACTGTCTGTGTGGAGTTTGCACATTCTCCCCATGTCTGCGTGGGTTTCTGCCGGGTGCTCTGGTTTCCTCCCACAGTCCAAAAATATACAGGTTAGGTAGATTGGCCATGCTAAATTGCCCATTGTGTCCAGGGTTGTGTAAGTTAGGTGGATTAGACATGGGAAATGCAGGTTTACAGGGAAAGGGTGGGTCTGGGTGGGATGCTCTTCGGCGGGGCAATGTAGACTTGTTGTGCCGAATGGCCTGTTTCCACGCTGTAAGGATCGTTTTACACCAGGGTTACCAACCATTTTTCTTTTGATAGCTGCTTCTGATTAATTAAAAATCTAAAACATAAATGGGAAATATATTCAGTTATTGCAACTGAACTACATATATATATGTATATATATAAATTGAAGTGAAAATTGTCCAGTACCTTTATTTCACTGTGAAACTTGACAATACAAGCTGCCTACCAGAGCTGGGTATCTGTTGTGTATCATAAAATCATACAGTGCAGAAGAGGTCCATCAGCCCATTGAGTCTGCACTGACCCATGAGAAACAGATGACCCTCAACCTAATCCCATTTACCTGCATTTGGCCCATACCCTTGAATGTTATGATGTGCCAAGTGTTCATCCAGGTACTTTTCAAATGATGTAAGGCAATCTGCCTCTACCACCCTCCCCTGCAGTGCATTCCTGACTACCACCATCTAGATAAAAAAAATTGTCCTCCTATCCCTCCTAAATTTTCTGGTTTACCTTGAACCCGTGTCCCCTCATGACTGACTAATGGGAATAGCTACTCCTATCCACTATGTCCATGCCCCTCATAATCTTGTACACTTCAAACAGATTGTCCCTCAGCTTGTCTACTCCAACAAAAGCAACCCAAGCCTATTCAACCTTCCCCATAACTTAAATTTTTCATCACACCAGCATCCCTGGTGAATCTCGTGTGCACCCCATCTATTGCAATCACATCCTTCCTGTAATGTGGCAACCTGAACTGCACACAGTACTCTAGCTGTGGTTTCACTGAAGTTCTATACAATTCCATCGTGACTTACATGTCTCAACTGATAGAGGTTCCATATCCCTTTTCACCACCCTACTAACATGCCCTTCTGCCTTCAGAGATCTATAGACAAACATGCCAAGGTCCCTTTGTTCCACAGAACTTCCTAGTGTCTTTCCATTCATTGACTATTTCATGGTCAAATTACTCCTACCTCACACCTTTCAGGATTGAATTCCATTGCCATTTATCTATCCATTTGACTGTCCTTTTTATATCTTCTTGTTGTCCAAGACACTCAACCTCACTGTTAACCATCCGAACAATATTTGTATCATCCACAAACTTACTAATCCAACCCCCAATACAGTCATCCACGTCATTTGTATAAATGACGAATAATAGAGGACCCAGCACAGAACCCTGTAATATGCACTGGACACGGGCTTCCAACAACTGAGCCAATTTTGAATCCATTTTATCAAATGACCCTTTATCCCATGTGCATTTGCATTCTTGATAAGTCTACTATGTTGGACGTTGTCAAAGGCTTAGCTGAAACCATATAAACTATATCAACTGCAATCCCCTCATCTACATGCCTGATCATCTTCTCAAGAAATGTAATCAAATTTGCATGACCTCTCTCTGACAAAGCCATGCTGACTATACCTGATCAAACTTTGCCTGTCCAAGTGGAGACAGATGCTGTCCTTCAGAATTTTCTCTAATAGTTTCCCTACTGTGAAACTCATTGAAAAGGCAATTCTGATCGAGCCAATTAGATGCTTGTTGATCAGGCGGGTTCAAAATTTAGATTTAATGAAGTTCATATCATAAGATTGACAAAGATAGAGAAAACCAAATTGTGAACTAGCCAGTAAATGGTTGGCTCCATTCCCTCCACAAAATAGGCTGCATTCATCATAAAGCAGCATTTCAGGAAAACAAGACATTGTATGACTTAAATCTTCATTTAAAGTAGTATTTAGAGTGGTAATTCCTGAGATCACTTTCCTTGCTTATGGGAGATGTTGCTGTACTTTTCAGTATCCATGAGACTCCAGAAAATTTGAGGCACATTGCTTTGATTTCAACGGAATGTCATTTTGAAGACCGACAATCTCCATTTCCAAAGCAATACAATCAAGGTTATACAGCTTACTAATTTGTTCAGAAATGTCATTCACATCCACTTTCATGAAAGGGAATGAAGTACTGTAAACATTATGCAGGCCTTCAGCTGCATTAATTCTGTTGCTAAAGTCTTGGCCAAGTCAGGGAAAGAAATCATTGTACCTGTTATTGTCCAAGATCCAACAGTAACTTCATTTTCTAATAGCATTTCCAGTATCTGGACCTGCTGTGCCAGAAGGTTAAGTTTTAGCATGAAAGCTATCACTGCACTAATCATGTCAGCAATTGTCTTCTGTTTCACTTGCAATTTACATTTAGGGCATTCAATGCGTCTGTCATCTTTGTTTCTGACATGAAAGCTATCATTTCTGACAAAAGTGAAAGAAATCAATGCAGTATTTCAGCAAAAGATTTCCATACTTCGGTGACAGTTAATCTAGAAAAGGCTTGAAACTTTGGTGTTTGGCATTTGCAGGAACCAGAGGAACACAAGAACAGGAGTAGGCCATTCAACTTGTTGAGCCTGCTCTGCCATTTGACACTACAATGCCTGATTGGATACTTCAATGCCTTTTATCCACACTATCCTGTTAAGCTTTCTTTTTTATTCATTTATGACATGAGGGTGTCACTCGCTAGGCGAGCATTTATAGCCTATCCCTAAATGCCCAGAGGGCAGTTAAGAGTCAGTTACATTGCAGTGGGTTTGGAGTCACATGTAGGCTGGACCAGCTAAGGATGGCAGTTTCCTTTCCTAAAGGGCATTTGTGAGCCAGACGGCTTTTTCTGACAATTGGCAATGGATTTATAATAAAAACCAAAAGAACTGCAGATGCTGTAAATCAGAAACAAAAATAGAATCTGCTGGAAAAGCTCAGCAGGTCTGGTAGCATCTGTGGAGAGAAATCAGAGTTAACATTTCGGGTCCAGTGACCCTTCCTCAGAGCTGATGGTAGCTAGGAAAATGTTGGTTTATATACAGGACCTAGGGTTGGGGGAGCGGGTAAGGAATAAATAATAGGTGGGGATAGAGCCTAAAGAGAGAGAAGAACAGTTGAACAGACAAAAGAGTGGATGATGATCTGGCTAGGAGGGTGAATGGCTGTTAATAGGGTCTGTTCGCAACTAACAATTGGTGTGTATAATAGCAGTCGAGGAGTTGGGGTAAGGACACAGAAGAGCTCAAGTCTGTAGTTGTTGGAGTCGAAATTGAGCCCCAGAGGGGCAACACCAACTCAATATCAATAATGAACCCCAAGTGGAAAATGAGGTGCTGTTCTTCCAGCTTGCGTTGAACTTCACTGGAGCGGTGGCTGATGTAGGCCAAGGAATAGGGTGATGTGTTGAAGTGGCAGGCAACTGAAAGCTCAGGGTCTTTTTTGCGGATGGAACGTAGGTGTTATGCGAAGCTGTCACTCAGTTTATGCATTGTTTCCCCAATGTAAGCAAGATTAAATCGTGCAAAGTGCAAGTAAAACGACTGAGAAAGGAAGAAGTAAATGGACAGGTGTTACACCTTCTGTGGACCAAGGCATCCTGGGAGGGAACAGTCCCTGCAGAATGCTGATAAGAGAGGGGAGGGGAATATGTGTCTAGTGGTGGCATCTTGCTGGAGGTGGTGGGAATGCCGGCTAATGATCCCTGCATGCGGAAGTTCATGGGATGGTAGGTACAGACAAGGAGAACTCTGTCACTGTTGCAGGAGGGAACAGAGCGGGTGAGGACCGAGGTGCGGGAGATGGGTCGGATCTGGCTGAGGGCCCTGTCAATAATGGTGCTGGGGAATCCATGGTTGAGGAAGAAGGTGGACATTTCAGAGGCTGTCTTGTCGAAGTTGGCATCATTGGAACAGCTGTGACAGAGATGGAGGAACAGGGTGTGAGGATGTATAGTCAAGGTAACTCTGGGAGTCACTGGGTTTGTAGTGGATATTGGTGGCCAGCCTATCCCCAGAAATGTTGAGGAGGGGTGGGAGGAGTCAGAGATAGACCAGGTGAAAGTGAGGGCAGCGTGGAAATTGGAAGCAAGAGTTGTGAGTGGGGGCCGAAATAGGACTGGAACAAGGAATGTTCCAC